GTCTTCTCTTGGTTTTCACTCGCTGTTTCGTCTTTTTCCCATTGCTTCCATTTTTGAAGTAGGCTGGCGTTTACTCTTTTCTCTTTGTTCCCTTGTTTGATGGTATAAATTGAATCGTGTCTCTCGGTAATGATGTATGGTCCTTCCCACTTCGGGAGTAGTTTTCTTCTAACATATTCACCTCCTGACGTATATCCTCGTTCTTTACATTTCACCTGATCTCCGACTTCAGACGGTTCCCATTTACTTCCTTCTCTCTGCTCGAATTTTTCAGCATAAGCTTTCTGTTTTTGTCCCACATTACTGATTGCCTGTTTCCGCTACTTTCTTAATCTTGTCATGTTCTATGGCTGTTGTTGGGGACAGGCCTTACTATGTATTGGAAGCCATGGTTTCCAGCAAAACACTAACCGGAACGACAGCCTCTTGATTGTTCCTTGTACAGAGGCATGGTGCGCTAACAATATTAACGGCAGTTCCGTCTCCTAATTCCCTCTTTTCGAAGCCACCCAATCCTTAAGTGTACAGTTATTCCGTTCTGTCAAACCGTTAGTCTACAGGAGGTACAGCGTCGTTCTTATCCTCTTGATATGGAGGTGCTCCAAACAGGATTTAAATTCTTCACTCTCAAAACGAGGACCTTGGTCGGTCAGTATCATTTTCGGCACACCATGCTCTCCAACAATATGCCGCATCGCCGCTGCAGTCACTGTCTTCGCGCGTTGGTCCGGAATTGCGACAGCGTCTACTCGTCGTGTAGCATGCTCCGCCGTCGCCAACAGGTATTGGTTGCCACTAGACGTCTGCGGAAATGGTCTCATTACGCCCACAGACCACAGGTCACCGACTGCCTCCACTGGAACCGACTGAAGCAGTGGTTGTATATACCTATCATCTTTCATCAGTTGACGATGAGGACAGTCCAGAATATGTTTGGCAACATCTCCTCTCATACCTGGCCAGTATTCACTTTGCCTGAGAAGGTCGGGTGTCCGTGAGACACCTGTATGAGCTAACCGGTGGCATTCTTGCGTCATTTTGTCGCGTAGACATTTCGGAATCACTGCCAACCAGCTCCCGTGGTTTTCTCGCCACGTCAGCATTCCATAAGTATTCATCCGTAGGCGTTCTTTCTGCGTCAACAACTTCCTCAATTCTTTATTTTCCACAGACTTGTTTGTCTCCGCTTCTTCAGTTATGGCTTTTGTCAACTCCTTAAGTGTAGGGTTCGACTTCTGAAGGCGAATAAGTCTCAACGGGTTCCATTCCACTGCATGTACACCGTATGTGATCTCAGGTAGCTCATTTTCTTCGTCAGATCTTGATAAGAAGTCTGCCAACCAGTTTTCTTTCCCTGCCACATGGCCGATGGTGAAGTCATATTCTTGCAGTCGTAACACCCAACGTGATAATTTTCCTTCGGGATCTCTCGCTGTCTTAATCCACTGTAGAGGTTTGTGGCCAGTTTCAATATGGAATCGTTGACCGAGGAGGTACGATCTCCACTTTTCCAGCGCCCAAACTATCGCTAGACATTCCTTTTTCATTGTAGAATATTTCTGTTCTGCGGGTGTTAGAACGCGGCTGGCATACTCCACTACTCCTTCAGTCTGTCTCAGGACTGCCCTATTCCATAATCACTTGCATCGGTGGACACGATAAATGGCCTACCAGGTATTGGTAGTTTTAACATCATCTCCTGGTCATTTAGGAGTTCGTTGATGTGATCAAATGTTTTTTGTGCCTCCTCCGTCCACACAAATTTGGGGTTGCCCAGTAGCTTATATAACGGTGTTGCCATCTCATTGAAATTTTTGAGGAACCGACTGTAGAATGCTGCTCTACCCAAGAATTGTCACAGTTTCCTCTTGGAATTCGGCACTGGAATAGTTCTGACTGTCAGAATTTTCTCGGTAGTGGTTTTATTTCACCGTTTCCAACTTTGTGTCCCAGCAACGTAACACTCTTCTTGGCGACCTGAGATTTTGCCTTACTGATGAGAAGTCCAAACTCGTCAATTCGTCTTAAAATAGCTTCCAGATGTTCTGCTTCTGTTCGACTATACACCACTAGGTCATCTTCAGCAACACCATCATCATCAACCATCTAAATGTAAATGGCACGCCTGCCAGACTAAATGGCATTCGCTTGAATTCGCGTTGCTTCCCGCCAACAATAAATGCTGTTTTCTCTCTATCTCTTTCTTTTATTGGTAGCTGCCAATAGCTTGAGCGGAGGTCCAGAACTGTAAATACTTTTGCATTCTGCAAACGATCTGGTGTTTCAGCTCCCGTAGGCATCGCAGGCGGCTTCAGTTGTGTTATGCTATTTAACTCCCGGAAATCAACGCAGAATCTATATTTCCCATCGGACTTTCTTACCAAAAGCACTGGCGAACTGTGTGAGCTATCAGCCTCTTCAATAGTACCTTCGTTTAGCAGTTCCTGAACCTGGAGCCCAACTTCTTCTTCCAAGTGATATGGTATTCGCCGTGTCATAAGTGTTGTCATTGCTTGACTTGTCACTGGGATTTCATGCCTAACCTTGTCATAGTATCCGTGAGAGTCTCCATCTCCCGTGAACAATCTGTCGTGTTTCTTGAACAACTTCATGATGTTTGGCGCTTCTGGGTGTGGTGCTTTTAATACCTCAACTCAATTTCTGCTACCTCACTGTTTTCGTGAGTGGTGAACGACCGGTACTTTGTCGCCACTATTCTTGTTCTCGTGTTAACAACTGCACCCACTTCTCTCAAAAAATCAACGCCTAGGATTGTCCGTTGTAGATGCGTGGTGACAATGAATGGAAATCTAATTTTCCGACTTCCTATCAGGACGACGCAATCTGATAAGCCTGCGATTTCTAATGCATGTCCCCCAGCCGTATGCACCGTTAGCGCACGTGGTCTTATGTTGTGAGACTGACTCTTATCTATCAGCGAGACTGCCACCCCTGTATCTATTGGACGCATGATCATTTATTCGCATCCGAGCATACACAGCACCTCGATCTATGGCTCCTACAATATCTAGTCTAGTCGGAAAGACAGAACTCCTATTATTTCGTTCAAAACGTTTTCTTTTTCGCCTCTCCGGACGGTTTCTTCGCCAGTGTACCAGTTTTCCGTATGCAAAGCATTTACTCTGTCTCTTGGCATTCATTCGAAGGGCAGGCACCTCCTCCAGAAGGTTGTTAATTAGCTTTTCCAGTTATTTACCTCTGGTGACTCCACATCAGCTACTGTTGTACTTATTACCTGTTTGGTGACCTTGGCCATCTCATTAATATCCATGGGTTGGGCTGCGTTGACTAGTTGTAGCTGCTGGATGATGGCTTTCGGGACACTTTCGGTGAACTGTGCAGCCAGCAAATGCTCCAGGCAGTCCTCATCCAACGTGGGAATCAGTTTAGTCAGTTTAGTCAACTTCACAGCCAACACCAGCGGATCTTCGTCTATGCCAAGTTTCATGCTCTAGAACTGCCGCATCGCTAGTTCCCTGTCTGTTGGACTGTCATACTCTGACTCCAGGCGTTCAACCATTCTCTGCCAAATCTTCCCCTCCCCACGTTCCACGCCGTCATACGCTGCTTTCGCTCTACCCGTCAGCAAGGTGGCCAAGTACAACCACCTTCGCTCCTGGATCCCGGACACTCACCAGCACCGCGACTGACTAGAAGTCCTTGAGAAAGACCTTGACGTCTCCACTCTCGAACTCTGCAGGCGACGGAATCTTCATCACGTCCAGAAGCAGCGACACCCACTGAAAGAAGCAAGGGAAAGGTACGTGGGAAGTGGGACAACAGTCGTTAAATGTGGTACACCTTGTACTAAAACCGTCATTTGCAAAATATACCTCATTTCCTTTTCTGCTTCTTTCTTGATTTGCTCTTCATATGCCCGCCTTGTCTCTTGCGTTTGTTTCTCTTGGCGGAATCCCTACCCATTGCCGGTGATTCCCTATAATTTCTGCCACCCTCTCAACACATACTACTTATATTTATCCTTATCAGCAACGCCCACTACATTATCACCACCGTTATTTTTAGAACACTTCTCCAAGGACCTTGAAGCTCAGGTGTCAGAGCACGGGGCGGAAATCGGGTGGTCGCTGGTTCGAATCCAACCGCGGTCCAAATTTTCATTTCACCCAGTATTAATACTTATCACATCAATCGACAAATCTATATGATTGGTTAGGTTTTAAACGTAATTGGCTGTTTATATTATATTAAGGCTTAAAAAGATTTTAATTGAAAACAATATTGTTCCAAAAGATGGTTTGCACTATTTGCAATAAATTTTAGCGATAAGTTACTTATTAACTCCAACACTGTCTTGATGGCTAAAAACCTCTGTAACATGTGAAGCATAATGATGATCCAGTTACTCATTTTTGAGGTGAACAAAGAGACTGCTCAACTGTATGTCAACTGAATGTTAAGCGCATATAAGTGAAGGTCCCTTCAATCCTGAAACAGTGACAACTCTCCACTGATACTTTTTATTGCCACAAGTAATGCAGTGATTAACATAATGTCTCACTTCAGTTGAATTTAGAATTTCTCAAGTCACATAGTGTCACAGTTTGTATGTGATAAGAGTAAATACCAACCCTGAGCAGCAGTTGTTGAGGCACCATTGAAGTAAAGAATTGACTCCGTCATCTCCCTAGACTGACATTTCGACGGTAAGTAACACAAGTAGTTCTCAGTCCTGATTAACCTTCCCTACTTTTACAATCGATTTACCGACTACAATAACATCAGATCTTGAAAATTGGACAGCATTAAGTAGAGAACGTTCATAGCACTTCCTAAAGAGTAATTAGAAAGTGCATAAGCGTGTACTAGGAAGGAATACTAAATTGAATTTCCCTCTTTAAGGATTTTTACTAAATCAACACATTATGTTTCCCCAAAACCCAAGAATTATCCTAAACCATATTTCCAAACAATGCATACACCATATTCAACAATATATTCGAAAATTTAATACTAACCTGTAATTTAGATAACAACAACTGAACTTGTTTTATATCCGAATGTTTAGAAAATTCGCATAGTTGTTTATCCGTTGTCTGAGATGATTTATTTGTTTCTTTCATCGATACTTCAGGCTGTTTGTTTGAATTTAAAGATACGGTGTTAGAAAGAATCAATAAAATGAAAACGGAAATGTATTTCTGATAGGCTACCACAAGATAGTATATATATATATATATATATATATATATATACATTCGGAAATATGACGAAATTCTTACAATCATGGAAGTAAGCAAAACAGTCTATAACACACCCTAAATAGCTGAGGAAAGGCAAATATAATTCAAACAAACAGATAAACTGAAACATATGTGCACGAAAATGTTTACTCATTGTATTGCCGAAAACACATGAAAAACCCAGTAACCAATATTTAAGTAGAACACTTGACAGAAAACGGCAACGCCTAATCGAAGAAGAAAAAATCGAAATATGGAAGTCAATAATTTTCCGTTCGGTCAATCCATAGTAGGGGGTTATAACATAAGAAAAATGCGGATACTATTTTGAGCAGGAAAATAATGCATAAAAAAGACTAGTAAGTAAAAGTAACAGAAAGACATTTATTTTATAGGTTTGCGAGGAAATAACTGACTGAAAGCATGAAAATTTTCATCACGGATGGATATCACCTGTAAAAATATTCGAAACCGAGGAGCACAGGACAGCTGTTTCCTTCTAGATCAAGACTCCTCAGAAGTGCACAACCATGATCCTCGCAATGTAGCGATTAACCCACGACTTGACAAAAGTAAGAAAACGTAACCATTGGGTTCCAACGTGATCACCACGAGACTTGATAGCCTTGAGGTTGGGTCTCTAAAGAGGTCATAGGTGCGCACCACTTAAGGGTCCCGTCCAATGCTCTCAGTCCTTCAATAACTCTGCAACTGATGTCAGCCGGTGACGAATACCATATTTTGACCGATCAATCCCCAGTAAATACTAGTTGATTCAATCTTAATATCAGTTTGTAAAATCAGAAAGCAAATTGTTAGATGAAGTATTTTTCAAGTACTAATAGACTTTTTGGGGTAAGCAAAACCAACACAAAAAGAAGAAGTGAAGCTACGGACACCCTCTTTTCAGCATTAAAGGGAGGAAGAAGCTTTAACGGTTCAGATTTTTTTCTTGTCCCTCCGTTTATACAACACAAAATACTAGGAGTAAGTGATTATAAAATATTATTTCTCCCTTGGGTTCCTAGTGGAACATACGGCTTCAGTTGCACGTCTCCATTCCACCCTGTTCTCTGCAGTATTTTGAACCTGGCTCCACGACTCCTCAGAAGCTCTCATTTCTTCCTCACACTATCTCCTCCATGTCACGCCCCCCACGTGGGTCCCACTTGAGGGCTTGGTCTGGCTCGTGATGTCCCCAAATGGTGTCTCAGTGTATGCTCGATCAATCCATCTCCACTTTTTTCTGCATATTTGTTGGATGATAAGTTGTTGGTTGGTTCGTTGCCAGAGTTCCTTGTTGCTGATTGTTTGTGGCCACCTGATCTTCAGTATCGAGTGAGCGTGGGCGGCAGCTGTTGATGAGTGTCTGCAGTTTGTTGAAAATGCTTTCCGTAACGCGCCAAGTCTCTCAACCATCACATAGAAGCACTGAGTTGACGTTGGTGTTGAAAACCCGAGTCCTATTGTTTATGCTGAGTTGAGTACAGTAGATCTCCACACTGGTTTCAGATTGATGAAGGCCCGTGTTCCTGTCTTTCCGATCCTGGCTTTGACATCTTCATCTGTGCCTGTGCCAATGCCTGTAGTTGAAACGATGGTGTCTAGGTAGGTAGTTAGGTGAAAGAGACAACTCCGTTTACATTTCTCCCGTTGATGGTGCTTGTTGTTGATATTGTTATTGGTTGGGTATCTTCATCACCTCATTCTTCTCTACGTTCATGTGAAGGAAGTTCCGTCTTCGCTGCCCTGCCTATTCTGTCAACTTGTTGGCTTTTGCCTGTGGATCTTCGAGTTTGTGCCACAAGAGATTAGACATAAGTGATCATCGGCGAAATCGTGTAGGGTCTCTTCATCGGTCAAGCCAGTCGGCGTATGCCCCTCTTCTCAATCCTCACAGTTTGTTGCATAATCCAGTCGACCACAATTAAGAAGATGATCGGTGATAGTAGGCGGCAGCCTTGTCTTACTCCTTCCTGTCCTCACTTCGAAGGAGTCACTGAGCTCAGCTTTCCATTGTGAATCACTTGACATGTGGCGTCGTCATATGGTCGTTGAATGAGGTTGATAAAGGTTTGCGGCACTCCGTAGTGTTGGAGCAGCTGCCTGCCAAACTACTTCTCGGTCGACGCTGTCAAAGGCTTTCTCAAGTCGATATAGTTGAGGTAGAGGGTTGACTGGCATTCTATCCTCTGTTCTATGATGATGCGTAGTGTAGCGTTGCAATTCGACCCGCACATGATTTGATTTTCCTGAATCCAGCCAGCCTGTTGCGGTCGTAATTTTGAATCGAGCACATCCTTTAGTCTCTCCAGGATGATGTGGCATTAGATTTTGCTTCGAGTGGACAGCAGCAGATTCCACGCCAGTTCTTGCAAAGACTTAGGTCTCCCTTCCTTAGGAGTCCGCTGACAATGTAGCCCCTCTTCCAATCAATAGGCAGGTACCTTTCCTTCCTTCCAAACCTTCTACAATAATGGTGTGGGGGTGTCTGCTGTTTTCTCTGCTTCTGTTTTCAGTGCTTCTGTAGGAATTCCGTCTCGTCCTGCTGCTTTCACGGATTTCAGCAGCTTTATGGCATTCAGGAATTCACCTTTTGTCGGAGGGCTCGTTTTAACTGGTAATTCTGTGGCTAGGCTGCTGGTGGTTTTTCCGGACGAGTTGCAGGTGGTGGTGGTGGTGGTCGATTCAAGAGCTTCTTGAAGTGGTCGACCTATCGTTCCCTTTGTTTCTTCTCTTTGCTAACTAGCCTTCCTTCACTATCTCTGATTGTTCTCATCCGTGTTGATCTCTTCCCAGATAGTAACCTGGTTATGTGATACAATAGTGTCAGGTCCCTCTCTCTCCTACCTACAGCCTATTCTGCTTCACTTGCCAATGTGTCGTAGAAGTGTCTTTTGTCTTTGCGCGCACTCTTCTTCACTTCTCTGTCCAGTGTTTTATACGTTACACCCAGTTTCGCTTTTCGTTGTGCATCCCTGCACTGCACTGGTTCATCTTCTGCTTCACCATCTTCCTCTCCCTCCTCTATCAGCTTCCATGTGTCTGTCGAGATCCATTCCTTGCCTTGTTCCTCCTTCCTTCCTAACACGGTTATGCAGGTTTCTTTCCACATAGCCTTCAAAGAGTTCCAGTGTTCTTCCACTCAGGTTTCTTCAGGAATGTTGGTCAATATCTCCCATTTTGTCCTGGTGGCTGACTGACGTGAAGATGTTCTTTGAAGTTTCGTCCTTCAGTTCAGTTTCTGTTCTGGGTGTAGGACTTGAACTGTGGTCTATCACCAACTTCTGTGGAGATCTTCAACTTGATTTTGAAGGTAGGTTCCTTGCACTAGACAGTGAGTGCTGTGAACCTACATCTGCTTCCCTTCTTGATCTTGCGTCCTGTAGGTTGCGTCTCCACTTTCTTCAGATTTACATGAAGTCGATCTGATTTTTAGTGTGTCCTGGTGTATGGTGAAATCTATGTCGCATTGTGGATATCTTTGTGTTTGAACACACTACCTCCAATCACCAAATTGTTGAATGCACAGAAGTCTGCAAACAGGTCTCCATTCTCATTCATCATTTCACCGAGCGCTACTCGGTCCATGGTTAGTTCTCTTCCTGTGTTTTCCGCTCCTAGTTTGGCATTCATGTCACCCCAGCTATTAGAACTTTGACGTCGCCAACTGGAGTGGAGTCTTTTCCAGTAGTGATTGCAGTTGTCTGTAGAATTCCTCTTCTTCTCTTCATCTGCTTAATTATTTGTAGGTGCTTAGCGTAGCATTGTGTGATTGTGACTTTCCTTCCTCTCTAGTTGAACCTTGCTGTCATGATCCTGATCGTGGAGTACATTGATTCCGACTGCATGAAAGCGAGCCTTCCATGCCCTTCAAGAGGACACCATGATAGCCACTCCAAAACTCAGTGTGCTCGTGGTTGTCGTCTGGGTGATAATATCGGAGTAGATTATTGACTCTGCAGTTGACAGTTTGGAGAGTCCACTTCCATTCCATCTACAGATTGCTCGCAGATTCCCAGCCTAGCACTTCAATGATATACCTTTTCATCTCTTTGGCAATCTGAGCAGCCTTTCCAGCCGGCTTCAAACATTGTCCGAACATTCCATGTCCCCATGTTTACTTTTGCTTTCATCGAGAGAAGATACATCGGCCAATTGGCTTCCCGAGGGCTTTCACCAACCGGCGTCATTTCGCCTCTCCGATTCCAGAGAGGAGTAGGTTTAATTTTGTTTCTTATATTTACCTTACGCTTTGAAGTTTCTTTAGCGGTTAGATTGGTTTTACGGGGTAGGGGTGGTAGCCCTTTTTATCCGGGTTTAAAACTGGCTAGTAACTAGTGTACAGGTACCAAGGGGAGGAGACAGTGATTGCAACCTAGATCTCTAAATATCTACCATCACTCAGAATAACATGAATCATCTTACACGGAGAGTCTTAGAAGATACATCATAGATAGCTGGCACATTACCCTGAGAAACTCTGATAAGTGTAATTGTAACAAATTTGTCAGTTAGTGTTCACCTCACAAGTGTAATTGAGCTTTAACTGTAAGGCAGATCTACAGCTTATTTCATTAAGTATTCTTATCAGATGAAGGATCGAAACTACATCTTTCGAGAAAAACAACTTTTAAAAAATAAGAGCAGAAAGAAGGAAATCCTACTACAGAAATACAGTCCACATATCCAGCCTGTTGAACAGAAGTCGTCAAGAACTATCTGTAGGCCATTAACTGCTGTGCAGCGTTATTGTCTTGAGCTTATAAACTACCGAGAACTCAGGGGAAAAACAGAACTAATGCACTGTATTTACATAACGTTATCACTTGACCTAAATAAATACCAACTACCAAAATCGCTTCCATAGTGCTAATTTATTGGTCCTAATAAGCACGAAATAGTGTGATACACATCAGAAATTAGTGATATGCTTCTGATTTCTATTTACAGTAATAAGGCTTCAGTCGTCATATCCAACATGTTACCGATTACTGCATGAAATACGTAAACTGAAAGGGAACAGGGAGATGCATCCTTACTTTATTAAACGATGTGAGTCGGCGAATGGAAGCCTAAAACTATCATATTTGTATATCAAAAACTTTGGTGAATTTATGATAGAACGCGGTCAGATGGTCACCACGCTCTGCTTTTTTTATACTGTACAATCTGTTTAAAAAGGAATGAAATATAGCTCATAATAGGTGAACTGCGAATATCTTAATTAATCTTTGGAACTTCACAGTCAGGAATTTACTAGCATACATCAAAGAACAGTAATCAAACAAAGTCAAGTTATGTAGACATTATTTTATACTGACAACAAAACCACTAGTTAAACTGTACAAGCAATATGAGTTCACTTACAAACTTTTCATGACTGATGGATTTTTCGGATATTGAAAATTCCTGCAGTTTATCAAGATGAAGTTCATTTACTGAAGGCGAAGAAATACGAGAACCTTCAGGTGCTGAATTCGGTCGAGTCAACTGACCTGAAAATTAAATTAATTATTATACGTTACATAACTAACCAATATATTAAATGTATATATTGAAGATAGGAAAAATAGGGATCATATACGCAGAAGAAGTACAATCACTCCACGAAGAATTATTGAATTATTTCATTGATTAAACTACTTGAACAGTAATTGAAAAGTAGGGAGCCCAGTGACGCCATTGTTGGTTCACGTCACATTAACTCTGGATAACCTTTTTCATATGTATGCTAATCAAGAGGAGATTAGTACCAATTATAAGCAAAACGTTATGGATGCTAACACTTTTACAATAAACAAAGTACGGTCCTCGTCATCGAAACAAGTGATATCAACAAAAATGATGTAATTTAGTTATTCTGATGACACTACTTGCTAATATTTAGTAGTATGAAAATAACTCGAGACAATATTTCAAACTCAGGTTATTCAGTGTGGTTTGTGCGGATTTATTGCTTTCAAGGAGACATTCATCATGGACAGACGTTATTTGTAGGACCAATAAAACCCTGAGAGCGTTGGATGGTTGTTTTACCCTAGGAGATTCTTCGGCAGTGCACACCCACATCTCCGCTAAGGATAAAACTTAGAACCTTCAGGTTTCGCGGTGAACAAATTTGGATTGGATAGTCGCGCGATACTGCGTCTCATACTAGGATGAGACAGCTGGGCAGTGCTCCCAAGTTTTCAACAGTTCTCCTACTGATGACATTCTATGATGAATACCACCTTGAAATCCAGGTTAGCTGAAACTCTTGTTTGGAAACCATTCTTCACAGAGATAACAATCTCTTTATTCGATCCCAGTTAGTGGGCTACACAGCGTGCTTAATTAGCTCATTGCATCACGAAAGCTTAGATTTTTGTCGGTTAGTAATTTCTTCAGTCAGACCAGACCAAAGAAAATGTAAAAGTGAAGGTCAAAGGAATATGGAAACCAAAACCATGCAGATAGTGAACATGTTTTGCATAATCTTGTCCGACTAGAAAGCTTACCATGATTAACTTCTTTGTATTCAAGCTCATTACCATGTACTTGCTTCATAGCGTCCGGTGATACCTAGGAAATTAACAATAATAAAGCAACATATAGGATTAGTGCTAACCTGAATATAGCGAAATAACGACTTCAAAATACAAAGAAAAAACAATGTAGAAACTTTAATAAAGTAGAATACGAAATTGTACAAACTAGACCAATTTATTACTGATAACAATAATGTTAACTTACCATGCACTAAGCTGGCTTTAGACAGCTTCACTCAAAACTCAAATGAGTTGGAATTTTTGATGTTAGAGAAAAATTTTCAGACAATGAAAAGAAATGTTTGTATTGCTGAGGCGTGCTTACGTCTATGAAATACGGTACACTTTCAGAGGAAAACAGTATATTTCAGTCAGCATCCATAGCAGTTATTATGCTTAAATAAGCAATAGTGTTCCGAATTATTCATCATTATAAATGCTATTCTTGTTTTATTATCCATATCCGTTGGCTCCATTCACTATAGTTCGTAAGGTTTGCTAGAGTTTTAGTTCATAGTTTGCCATTACCACCGTTTCGCATTTTCACATTACTGTTCATAAAACTGATGATAAATTATGCGCTATATCTTCCATTTGGTCTGCTGATAAATGACAGACTGGTAGAATCAATGTAGAACCTAGCATACAAGTGTATCGGTCCAAGTTGCCATACTTCACAGTAGTACACAAAGAATAGGTGAATAAAATAGGAGTGATATCACTTGACAAATTTTTGTGAGAGAATAAACAACCTGAAGATAACGGTTAGTGCAAATATTCAAACTATAGAAGACACTAAAGACTGAGCACATCTGCGCCGTTGTGACCCATTTCCAGACATATCACTAAGAGTTCCCAACCACTGATTCTTATTCGTCTAGAGGACCCCAGCCAGGCAGGGTACATCTCCCTACACTGCTCAGGCAAACAGTTAGAGACCTTATGCACTGGTGCAACACCTTCGTCTGGCCACCTTAATACATATAGTCTTCTCAACATCGAGAAGAGTTGAGGGACCGACATCTACATCTCATTCAGACTGATGCTGCAAGTTGGGCAACTGAAGCGTTGGTGCTGGCCAGTTACACTGCGTTCTGCCCTGCCTTTCGGTCGTTTTTCCTGGGAGGTTATCACCGTTCCATTCTTTTCGATGATGGTTTCACTAACTACCGCTCTCATCTTGCCGGTTTCCTTAATAAGCCTAAGTAGTTAACGGGTGTTACCCAACGCTGACGCTTTCTCCATCCAGTGCTGCCCACGATCATTGCGAAGACTCTTGGTCAATTTACGTGTAAGTTCCTTTATCTCTTCATTATGGTTAGAGCCAGCTGGCACTCCAGAAAAAGCGGCAATCCTCCCCGACGATGGCTTATAGCAATCTGATCTATCAGCGCTCATCGTTGGTTTGATATCGACGGACACCAAATGAGACTGTGTCCCTCCTTACTATTAAAGTTACTGTTGGCCAGAAACAAGTCTGTCGGAACAAAATTGCAACAGGCAATCACCGTTGTAGGTTCGTTGGTATAGAATTCCGCAAATAACCCCAAGATGCCTTTTCGATTGGCTCAGCTTCCTTACTTGAATGTTAAAGTTACCTACCATTATGATTACATGCGAATGTTTTGCTTTCTGCATCAAAAGTGACAGCTTCTCATAGAATTCACCCTTTGCATCATCCGAACTACAGTCAGTGGATGAGTAAACAAGGATTACAAATAAACATCGGTTGGTTTCATGATCTCGCCTTGTCCTTACAGATCCATTCAGTCGAACAGCACATAGATGGCTGTTGACTAGTATTTAGTCGAGAAGCGCATTTTCTGCCCTATGGCTCAAAATTATGCGAATCCACGATAGAAGGTCACTGGGTTTCCAGATACTGGTAAGGTGAATTCTGAAGACTCACTACTATGGTCAGTTGAGGTCAAGCTAATGACTACACTCGGGTCCTACATCCGTGTCTCAGAGAAACAGCATATACCCATGGCTAGAGATTCCAGAGTTTTGGTGAGTAATGTTTGCTGTTCGATTTGCCAAAAAGTTCGCACGTTGGAAGCTCTAATACATAACTGATGACGAAGTTTTAGGAGATTAGGAACGAGGTTTCGACAGCTTTAATCAATGACAATGATCGCAGAGTGAGAGGTGGGGTAAGGCGTAAGAGGCCTAATATTAGTATCAGGAGGCGAAGGTACAGAAGGAGACAAAGTTGAGAAAGGTATGTTGTTTGATTGGGTCTTGTGTACTGCTGGAAGCGTACAGGAGGTTGACACTTCTCGGCTGCCCACACCGTGGAAACTTGTTCCTCTTGAGGTACCTGAAAAAGAAGGAATGATGTGCGACCACACAGCCCTTCGGATATCTGCTTGAGGCCTCTTCTAACCATCCACCGCCCATAAAGAAGGCAGCATCAGCATGGCATCGCTGGTCATTAAAGGGAAACACTTTACTGCCGTCACACCACCTTTCAGTCAGCAGTACGACTTAGCCCTCAGACCTCCATCATAGTGTACAATTTACATTATAATGGTAACTTCTTTTCGTATAACTGCTATCCAATAGACCTTTCTGATACGGTAGAACCTCTAGAGAACAAACATTCTACCAGCATAGCTCATTGTAATATACAGGCCCAACCACTACGTCAAGATAGCAGCTATCGGTCGAGTTGTTGGTAAATAAACGGTACTAACAATTCTTACGGTAACCTCTTTGCAGTTGGGATTTTCCCATGTCTCTTTAATTGGAAGCCGGTATATTTCATCGACGATTGTTTGAACAGTGAAAACTCCACTCAATCTAACTTGTGATAAGACAATTGATGCCATGAACAAGGGTCTAAAATACTGAAGGACAAGAGTTCATACCATTAAAGTAGTCATCATGATATTATCATGAAATATTTTCTTGGAACACTTCTGATACTTATCACCTGTAAAGATCTTCAGCTTGTGGATAACATCAAAAATAAGAGTAGAAAAGTGTATTACTAACCTTAAAGGAAAAAGGTAACAATAGTCTTCCTCCTATGATATGTACCAAGTGAAAACTGTTTAGTTTTACTTCGACATACATATTTACTAGTTTGGACATAGGAAGTAGTGGTCAAAGTGTACACCCCATCGCTACTCAAACTTGATATGAATACGAGCAATAAACAAGAAATAACCCAATATAAATGAAATCAAACAATCACAAGAAGCATACACACACTTACGCAATGAGTAGTAGGCAAAACTGTACCATTACCATTCACTGGCTCATTTGAATCCACAGACCCCTTAGGCATGTACATAGTATTGCATTTGTTATTTGCATGTTTTTTGTATGGAACAATCTGATCAAGCGAATATCTATAATCTTTTGTGGAATTTTTAAAATCCCCCGATGAGTCCTCGTTAACAAGATGACTAGTCGACAGTTTACTGACTGGTTTTCGTCTAAACATACATTTACCTAGGTACGGTTCATCACCAGTATCTTGAACCTTAAAAAAATACGTACTTATGAGGCATTAGAAACCATTATTTTAAACAATGAATACTAAATAACGAACAAAATAAGCAACAATAAGAGCTTGACAAAAATCTCCTCTCCCTGACGAGGTTGTGGGTGCGCACTGCTGAGGAGTCCCATGCCAGGACGAAATAGCTGTCCAGTGGTCTCAGGTTTCCAATGTTCCTCCAACTGATGTCAGTCCATGATGAATTCCAACCTAAGGTCAATTAATAAATATCCACAAACCTCCAGATAGCATCTAACCAAAACATTGAAGTGTTTGTCGTTGAGAAAACATGAAGCATCTGTGACCCTTTGTTGATATGCTTGTAATTCTCCGTTGTTTTACTGGGTCGAACTGTTGGATCTCTATTAGCATATGGGCTCCTATGAGGATGCCTCGATTTTCCCTGAATGTCAATTAAGATAATTTACTTCGTTGTGACCGGCAGAGAAATCTAGGATGTGCGTTTCGCCTTACTTGGAACTCATCAGCTCGATATACCTGCACCCTAGTGAGGGATGCTGTTTACCACTGAAACTCCGACCTAGTATCCATCGCTTTAAACGCCAGAGGGTTATCCACTAGGTCAATGACGAGCTCAGAATAAAACGAAAGGCGCGTCCTGGATTCCTCTGTTAGCCAAAGCCAAGTACATGAAGTATCCAGTTCATTTCATAAATTGGAACTAAAATTGTGGCTTATTGGTCTAAGAACTTAACTTGCAACAATAAGTTGAAAGTTCTAGAGCAAGTCAATCAACTTTGGTCCAAGCAACCGGGTAGTATCTAAAGCTATTATACAAAAGTGTGATGTATAGCCTAGTAAGTATTCATCTACACTGGTTTGAGTTGATTCCGTTAATTTGCATAGTGTAGTTAAAAGACATAGTATGTCTGAATAATCTAATGCATTTGTAGACCATAGTCATGACAATCTGATCCAATGGATACAAAGAACGACCTCCCGCATTTGTAACCCACGAATTTACTACACTTCATATTAGTAAAAGGACAAAAAATCAACCAAACAGTAGGACCTGGCGTAACTGCGTAAGTTACCGAATCTCATATCAGTACATCTAGATAGAAGATATCACGATGGAAAATAGACAAATTTACATAAAGCCACAGAGATCCACTTACCTTACCTAACCTTTTTCCGAAAGTAGGATACCGCCTACAGCTCTGTTTCCGAAGTAGACTGAAATTAGCGTTATGCTTATTAAAGATGTGTGATCTCATTCAGTTCCGATAACTGTCTAGCCAGCTCCTCTTATAAAACGCGCTTGGTTTCCTTATCACTGGAGAGTGCTAGAAATGGTCTTCCAGTTGTAGTTTTCCTACGTCCATTTCGGTGTAGATACACGTATACTTAAAGCCATGTATGCTTACTGTCTGAATATGTACTCTGGAAGGGGCGAAAATCTTCCACTGACCCTCATCAGTGATAACCGGTAGTGATATGGCTTACCTGCAGCCACCAGTGAGTTGAAGGTGGTGGACGTCTCCTTATGTTCAAGGTTCGTTCTGGCCAGAAATAAATAGTTGTCTGGACACAGTCACAGCAGGCAATCGCCGTTATTTGTTAGGTCAGGTGAGATCATGAAAGCACAACCTAACTTCTTTTCAGCCCAATTTAAGCTACTCAACTCAGCACTGGAATCATACGCTTTGCCAGCCACATTTGAACGTTCGGCTTTCAGTAGGAGCACAGACAGTTTTAGGCAGCAACCATGTTTTACTTCATCCGAAGTGTAGTCGGTGGGTGCATAAGTAGAAATTACAAGAGGAGACCGGTGAGTTTCACCATCCCTATTTTGTATGGTGCCTCTCTTGGTTTCCTTCCTGTGCTGTACCAAGTTTGTGTTCTGAATAGGAAATCAATCACTACACATTTTAGTCCTCACTTGACTGTTCAGTCTCGCAGTGCACAGGCGACCGATTGACTGAAAGGTGTGGTGAACGATTAGAAAGGAAAGATGTTGAAGGTTGATAGTGATCTAAGAGAACCTGATTGCTGAAAGAGTTGTGGGGGTGGTCGATACATCCTGGCTGCCTACACAACAGAAAGTCACAATTTCTTGTGGTAACTGAAAAAGGAATTTGGTTAGTAACAGTGACGCGTGATTGCAAAGTTCAAGCGGTATCTGCTTGAGGTCAGTTACACTTGACATCTCCAGAACCTTGAGATTATTTCTAATTCTGTTCGAACTAGTTACAAAATCCATATTACTGGCAGCAGAAGGCCACAAAACATAACAGAGTGTGCTATTTACGACATCGACCTTATCTGACGCCTCTTTCGCATAAGGAAAACAGGCATCAGTGTGGCACTGCTGGTCATCCGCGGAAAAATCTTTAGTGCTGTCACTTCGTCTTCGTCGTTGAATCCCAATCGCAACATAGCTATTTATACCCTAATGGTAACTGCCTTTTGTTTTACCACTGTCCAACTCAATTTTCTGGTAACGATAGGACCTTGAGGTAACAAGTATTCCATCACCATAGCTCGTTGGGTCGTTGAGGTATGCAAGCCAACAACACATCAGGCCGGCAGCTATCAGTCGTCGCATACAGGAGTGAATTTCAGACCATTCTTTCTCTATCACAGTTCCAATAGCCACTGACGTTTGCACCCCAATTTTGTTCCGAAGTTTATTCAACTGTCTACTGTTACTTATCATCACTGGTTTTTTAATCTTTTTGCTCCTCATCACTGCACATGGTCATTGCGTAGACTTTATCTATCTGCAGCAATAAGTGACAGAGAATAACATAAATCTGAAACCAATGGCTGGTGCAATACTACGAATGTACATTCATGAGCTGCAATAAGTAATGTCACGCATCGACGTTATTCAAGTCTTAGATGCTCCAAATAGCTTCTATTTCCAGTATAAAAAACTAGATTACTATACTTCATACTAACACAAAAAACGGTCTAGATACTGACTTTACAAAGAGAGTCAGTTAATGGCCAACGACAAACACGTTGAAATTTTGATTTTGAAAGTTGATAATGCAGTTGACAAGTCAACTAGTGTATAAGTGAATCAATGCAGCAAAAAGAAAAACCTATTTCTAATTTAGACTGTCTACTTGTTCACAGACGAACCTCATACAGATTCTTTTAACTATAAACTATCCAAAATAGTCCAATTAATGATAAAACAAAATGACTTTGATGAGTGGAAAACGCATTTTACGTATGCATATGAACGCATTACTGATAATCACAGGCAAAGCATACTAACAGAAGAAAAATAGAATGAGTCAACAAGATTAATGAAGCCTACACTAATCAATCAGATTATAGGATAAAATGGTAGACATTTTGATTTTATCGATCCGTAGGAAGAAAATAAGGCGAACCCAATTAAAAATAAAAATATGTGCACATTTTAATGATAGCATGTGCATAAAATGTAGACTGCACTGACAAAGCTTATGCTTTGAAAGACAAAAGTACTGAGATACGAAATAAGTTTCAGTTTAAAAATTGTTTCATTGAGGTAGTGCGTGTACGAACTGGCTTTAGAGTAGATAGTTGAGACTAAAAAATAGTATTTAGGAAAATTTTCGTCAGTACACTGAAACATTTGGAATGAAGGTTACGGTGCATAACAGCTCTCTGTTTATACATGATGTGAACGAAACCAATTATCAGGTGGTTAATTGTAGTATACTTCAGGAAAACAAAATATTCAAGTGATAAGCAATCAAAAGAATGGATTTTCAACTCCTGTAAATATTTATACTGCGTGATGATTGAAGGTGAAATGGAAATCCGGACCGCGACTGCATCCGAACCAGCGACCGCCGGGTTCCCAGCCCGACTCTCTACCAACTGAGCTACGAGGTCCGACTGTTTATCAGATTTTTATTTCACTTCAATCACCAATTAGCCATAATAAAACACAAATTAATATTTAGACTTAAATAACTGAGGTTTGGTAACTTGGATATAATACGAGACGACGTATTATAACTCTCAGTGTACAAAGATCCTGAAATCCAAAAGGCTTCCTTCCACTTAACTAAAATCATGTTTACACCACAAATTACTTATTTCAGGCTAACCCTTGTCTACATAAGTGATGGAAACTATAAAATGTCTCTGTTTGAAAAATAACGTAGGTATATTTATATTCTTAAAAAGGATTCACTCTTGGATCAAGAGTAGAGCTGTGGCTCTTTGGTTCAGGAAGATGATTACCAACCACTGGGTCACAGGTCCCAGCCCCGCTCCACCTACTGAGGTTTGGGCGGTCAGGTAGTATCACTAGCTCTCGCACACTAGGTTTGGCGCATGGCCTACTGCACGGGTGTGCACAAAGTAGCTGAGTGAGTTTCTTCTTCTTCTCGGATCAAGGTCTACTTCGATCTGTTGGTTTTTAAGCAAACCTGCAATCGCCTAAGATTTTTAGATTTATTTCTTGAAAGATCTTTGGTCCTTGACATTCCATTAGTCAATGTGATAACTGCCGATTTTTGTTTGTATTGTACAGTTTGAATTATTAACCACGTCAGGTACTGAGTATTATGATGGACAACATCTGTGTATAGTTAAGCTCCGGAGATAAACCTGACAAATGTTTATCTCATTTTATATAAATCATGACACCAAAACCAAAGATCAGACTGTGAGACAGTGTATGCAAACAAACACTTGCAATAAAACGGATCCTAAGAATGTTATTTAATCGTATGTGAAGAGAATATCCTACCAGAGAGAAACCATGGGATCAACCTGTTCTAACCCTTTAGCACTGATACTTAGTTAAACTGATTATGTTGTTACACAGTGTTTCTAAATGAAGCCCAATGAAAATAATATGTTAAAAAGTGCACAGTACATATGATTTACATCACTCACTGTGTCTATCTTCTCATTTAAACCCCATATCGGTAATAAACAATTGTACACATTAGACTAACAATTTCACTGATACAATATGCTGATGATTAAATTACCACTTTCAAGAAAATACGATGAATCAAATACTATAATCTATCATGATGATTATGACCATATATCAATTTATCATTTCATTTAGCTAAATTTACTTCTTCCTCTTTGTAAATAACCAGAGTGAAATAACGCTCTAGTTTCCACATTAGATTTTTTTATTTGATCTATAACACACAGTAATACAGTACTGTTATTATGATTATTATTATTATTATTATGACACATTTATTGTTAAAATCAGAACATATCGACAATTTCCCCACACATATAAACTCAGTAGTAGGCGCAATCCCATTCACTTACGAGGTAGAAAATGAACAAGGAGAATTACCTTAGTTGAAGTGCAGGATAAAACGAAAAAGAGACAGTGGTTTGAATACTATCATTTACAGGAAATGGACACATTCTAACAGGTATCTGAACTTCAAGTCATTTCATTCAAAGTCATTTAAGACAGGTTTATTCAAATATCTGAATGACAGAGCTACAAAACTGACTAGTCAGTGCAAGGACCTAAACAAGGAACGAAAGCACATAAAATAACCGCTAATAATTAATAATTATCCCCTACAGTTTATTGCGAAGTTCATACGAACACACAAGAAACGAAATAATGACAGTAATATGAGTACGAATAATAATGACAAAACGAGTAGATAAGAGTTCACAATCTCCATTGTTACCCTATAACGAGGGGACATCAGAAACTTTACGTAGCACCCTCAACAATTTTGAGATTATGGTGACATTGAAGCCTACAAACTCACTCAGAGATAAGCTTTGTCGGCTGACTTAAGGATCCGACAGAACAAATTAGGCGAAATTCCATGTTATGACTGCGAGGTCAAGAAAACAGGTCAAACTATCACTTTGACGTCAGTTACATCAGGGGAACATACTAATATCGACTGCCATAGAATTTCAGACATTACTAGGAGCAAACTCATAAAACAAAACTCGACTGATGCACAAATAACATTAAAACAAACGAAACAATACGCTGCGGAATAACACCGCTACAACTTGAAAACATTCATGGAGCGACGAAATATCTTCTCTTTCAATTAGGTCTTCATCTTGGGCTCCACACTAATATCTAGTTTTACTATTTAACCAAATTACCAATCACGTAGTAGGGGGTTGGTCAACAGTAATCATAGATTTTAAGTGAGTCATGAAGATGATGTTTTAGAAATAATGATGTAACTAGTCAACAGAGTTATTAAAATTGGAAATATGAAGCAGACTATTCTTAGTTAGGTAAATGCAGTGATTTTTGATGAGTGCTCAGTCATGAACAATAAGTAATTCCGTAACCATAGGAAAACAAACGAATATATTGATCAAAACAAGAAGGGGAAGAGGTGTACAAAGTAATACTAGAAGTTACATCATGTTGACGGCCACGGTAATGAAAGTGGCCGAACAAACTTCTTTTGAATACAAAGGTTAGGCTTGTAAAGGTGAATTGCAATCGCTTCTGCTATGTGAAGTAAACGAGTGCGTAATTCATGTGGTAAATTAATTGGAATCCGATGAATGATTCTGAAGGCTTTTCTAGAATCCACTTGATGTCTCGTGTCAACTAGGTGTGCAAGTATGGAGCTCTTAATTGTTCTAATCTGTCCCTCGCTCAACCATGATGGGCGATGCTCAGAAATTCGACGATGGAACTGTCTCATTGTACGCCCAAAGTAACTAGCTCCGCAGGAGCAGTTGAATTGATAAATCCACATGGAAGTGGCGCGGTTGTAGAAGACGGGACATAATTTAGTGACCGGAAATGCTTTATGTAAGACTCTTTTCATGCGCTGTGTGATGATCTCACTGGCAATGTCACTCTTAAATCTCAGCTTCAAGAAAATTTGAGTTTTTGGCGTTCTTGTCTTAACCCTCGTAACATTCATATGCTTAGTTACAAACTTGTCTGGGTAGCCATTCCTACTAAACAGATCACGGATGGTGGCGCACTCTTCCTTTATAGCATCATCTGAGCAAATAGCTGTGGCGCGGTATGCTAGGCATTTCACCAGGTTCCTTTTGTATTGGAGGGGTACGGCACTAAAGAAGTACGTGTATTGACCTTCTGATGCTGGTTTTCTATATACGCTTCGTTTCAGAGTTCCATCTAACCTTCTTACTAACAGAACATCGAGAAGTGGGAAACTGCCATTTTTCTCCCCTTCCATTGTGAAGTTGATTGCCGGGTGAACACTATTGAACTTATTCAGAACACCATTCCTATCAATCTCACTTTTGAGAACTATAAAGATATCATCCATGTAATGACAATATAATTCTAAACAGCTAATAGTTTTGTTCAGTGGACCGTTCTCTAGTTTTGCCAGAAAAAAATCTGCTAAGAGCGGGCCAAGTGGTGACCTCATAGCTAAACCATCAGATTGGCGGTAGAGTTCATTGCTGAAAATGAATTGTGCGTTCATCGCACACTTCAGAAGTAGTTTTTTTCAATGTGGAGACTGGAATACCTATTTCCATGCCGTGCTTCGTAAGTTCGTTGCAAATAAAGTCTACTGTCTCCACTAAAAAGAGATGGAACATCACACGGTATCATTAACTTAGTATCTTCTTTCAGATCCCCAATCTTTCCAACAAATTCAAAGGTATCTTTGAGACTGTACTTTACAACTTCTTTGTGGGGAGGCTTCAAGAGTTGCACTAACCATTTTGCGGTTGTATGATACGGAGAGTTTGTCATGTTGAGAACTGGTCGGAGAGGTAGACCGTTTTTATGCAGTTTTGGTAGACCATAAAGTCTAGGTGTAACCGTTCCAGTAGGTTTGAACATTTCCAAGGAAGCATTTCAGATAGAAACGAAGTCCTGTTGTTTTATCTTTTCCAGTGATTCGGTTAGATGTCTCTCGGTCTCCTCTGTCCTATCACCTATGAGCGACTAATTTCTGAAATTCACTCATCACTAAGTAAAGCATTCGTTTTGTCTATGCAGTCTTTTCTAACCATTAAAACTATTCCTGATCCTCTACCTGGCTTAGTGATCACAATATTTGCACTTGTTCTAAGCTTTTTCAAAGCTTCTTTGTGTTGTTTCGTTAAAATACTCGTTGTATCGTTCCTACTACTCGTGCACTTAAGGCAGGAGTCAACGGGTATAGTCTAGGTCTATCAACGTCTTCACTAGATGATGGTACCAAACCTTCCGTCTGTGTATACAAGTTCTCAAGCTGTACTTTCGTTTCCATCTTACTAATCGTATAACGACTATGATAAAAGTTTGGTTCAAGTGACAAAACTTCTAATTGTATAGCATCAAGATCGATACTAGAAAATTGTGTACAAACTGACCTCTGTTAGTAGGGAATCTCATCTCTAGTGTTCGATTTTCAAGACTTTTGATCAAGTTAATGCGCTTCTTTTCCTTCCATACATTGACAACATTTGCCACATAACCCAATAATTCCCGCTTTAAATTTTCGGAAGCTCTTCTACAGTGTGGAATCTCTCTGTAACATTTTTCAACATTTCAGCAGAATAAGATCTCGGTGGGTTAATCTGATTCAGAGCGAATGGACAGAAGTTAGAAACTTTGAACCACTAAACCCCAACATAGTGGCTGAATAGTTACCACTTTCATTATGAAACTTGAAGGTCCTAGGTTCGGTCTCTAGCCTGTTCTCGGGTGCGTACTCCTGATGAGCCTCATACTAGGACGAAACGGCTGTCCAGTGCTCCCAGGTTTCAAATGGTTCCGCAGCTGATATCAGTCCATGGTGAATACTGCCTCAAAATTAAAATCTCCTTTCATCTCAAAATACAGAAATTTATCCTTCAAAAATGATTGAATTACATCAGTATACAGATACGAGAAGACGTGTAACTATATTTTTAACTTTTGTTAGGAGTAAATAAATCTAGGGGTTTGTGGAGACTTGTTGATTGATTTCGGGTTGGAATTCATCACGGACTGATACCAGTTGGAGGAATATTGAAAACTTGGGAGCACTGAATAACTGTTTTGTCCTAGCTTGGGACTCCTCAGCAGTGCGGACCCACGACCCTGCCCTCCAGGGGTTGAGTCCAGGACGTGTAGGTCTTGTGGTCAGCACGTTACCGTTGAGCCACTGGGTCGGAATCCAGAAAATGTCCTTAGGTGGCCAACTACAATCGTAGCATTAACTGTTAGCCTGACGTAATAATCAGTAATTGCAGCTTAGATTGCGGGTTTTGTGGTACTTCAACTGCTCTTTAGGCTTAAGATTTCATGAATGCAGCTATTGATACCAGTCAAGAGAACACCTTCATAGGCTATATTTTCAGAAACACTTTAAATGACATAGTTTTCAAATTATAAAAAAATGGACTGAACACTATGGAAATTAATACAACAGTACATCGATTTTCTTTGATACACAGTAATCCTGATTCTTTCAGCATACACCTGTATTAAACAAAGTTTAAAGCATCAGAAAATAAGTTAGCACTGATTGCTCTCGAGGCAGATAGTTCAGCGAGAAGTGCTTATACAATCTTATTCAAAAAATACAGAAGTTCAAGGCAACTTCCATATAGTCTGAGAATAAGGGACTAGAATAACGCACACTTCGATGTCATGCGACGCTGCATTGATTAAGCAACCGGTCCATATAATACAAAAACACTGCAACTTACTTGATGAATATAAGGTGAATTGGTTGATTCCGGTAGACATAAACCACATAAACCCAATTTCTCATCAATTTTATGAAATGCCAACTCTTGTTCCAATTCAAAGTGTTTTAAACATGCACGAGCTAACTCTTCGGATTTGGAATGAAGCTATTAATTCGCAAAAAGTATTTTTTTTTTAAAAACTATTTTAGACATTTGTGTTTACATAAGGACAGCTAAAGAATGAAGTTAAATACATTATAACTAAATCTAACCCTAAAACAATGGGTGACCTGACAGGACAGAATAAATATGATGAAGTCCCACCTATTTAATCGCTTACATTTTTGAAAAGGTTATCCAACTTACATTCACCCGCATGGTTGGTCATGCTAAGGAAATCAACAACTAGATGAGGTGAACAAAATAAAAAACTTCAATACCAATACCATTCTCTGTGAATTTCCGAAAATATACAGTTTACGGAGTATAATCTAAGAGGAAGTGCATTACAAACTAATACAAACACACTTGGAATAAATAAAGTTTTTAGACATTTCGATGGACTGCTTTAATACTGATAGCCAAACACTACGACGCTGATTAAGTAAATTATGTAATACACTTAGCATAACATCATTTTCGACGCACTTTAGCAGTTGAGATCACCACTTTATGTGGACGCTATAGCGTGTGGTATAAAAAAGCTGGCCGTTAAGAATGATATGAACGGAATATACAGACACATTTCAAACCACCTTATTTTTTAAATCGCTGCATAGAGGGATAAAAGGTTGTCTTCAGAATATAACGAAAAAGTATTCAGTTCTGATAAGATTCACTAGCTGTTAGTGTTCCAGTGGCCTAGTGGATAACGCTTTGGTGTTTGAAGCGATGTATACTGGGTTTGAGTATTAATGGGAACAACATGACTCAACGGGGTGCAGGTATGTCCAGCTGACGAGCCGGAAATAAAACGAAACGCGCGTCCTGGATTCCACTACTAATCATCAAGATGACTAAAACCTATCGTGATAACTTATTTCGCCCTTCATAGACCAGAAGATATGACATAAATGTAAAAGTAAATGGACGAATGTAAACGAATAACTTTCACTAGGAAAGTGTCCAATTGGTGTGAATTGAGTATTGTACAATGGACAATCTGAACTAACCCATTTCCGCTCGGTATTGATGTAAAACTAAGAAACATGTACAAATTTATCTACTACACAATGAGGCACACTTATTGTAATGTCTAAAGATGATCATATTTGTCTGTCAAGATTTCAGAAGGGGCAGAGAAATTTCATCCAACGAACCATTGTTTGGAAGTTTAATATCTAAACCAAAGGGTTAAACATGAATTTTGTACTCTTTAAAGTAGCTTTTAGACTATTATGATGACTATGAAAATGTTGGTCAATAATGAGATTTCACGATGTTATGAGTCAAGTTTAAGCTAAATATATGTACCTGAAGCCAGATTTTGATTCCTGTTAACAATATGTTCTTTCTACGCAGAATCATTTAGGTATATCATGAGGAGACAGTGCAGTTAAAATTTACCACGACAACCGCATTGCATAACTTATATTCTTTTTTGTTTCGAAGTATTATTACAAGGGTATTACAAAAATTGAGTTTTCATAAACTTTCCTTTAGGAACGACAAGTCTCATATTAATTCAATAAAAACAGTAGGACAAAATACAGGGTTTTCTAGATACGTTCAGCAGAAATTTGAGTATATTCGACATGTGTTCAGCTGTCACTAGCCAAATATAAGATGATGCTACCGGACTGGTCTGCAACCACTCCCAATTTCATAATAGGGAGTGAAGTGGTGGAATGTGTCAACCATTTCGCTTACTTGGGAGGTTGTATCAACCCAAACGGACTGCTTACTGATGAAATCCCAGCTAGGATATAGAAGGACCGTTTGGCATTTGCCAAATTGAAGTATCTCTGATGAGATATCGAACTATCTATCAAAGGATGAGTATAACGCACTGCAGTTTGTTCCATCCTGTTATACGACTGTGAGACATAGCTATTAAAAGTAGAAGGCATGAAGCGGTTACAAGGTTTCCACCACAGATGTCTTCCTACCATTGCTCACGTTTGGTGGAATCATCGTGTGAGCAATGTTGAGGTCACGCGGAGGATGCTAGGCAAGAAAGGAAAGTCGATTGATGAAGTTATAAACCTCAGATAGCTGGGAAATGTTCTGCTCACACAGAGTCAATCCCTACCTCGACATGCCATGCTGGGGAAGTTCGGTCACGCTGGAAGAGGGTTCAGGGTGGCCAGATCCAGACCTGCAATCAGTCGATGAAGCCTCTTACTGTTGGTCTGAGCAGTGTGGGGAGATATGGACCGCCTATTTGGAGTCCTCGTGACAGAAAGAATAATCGGTTGGGTACTCTATGTGACATGGCTGAAAAGCAATCACGATTGCGCAGTTGTATTCACTCTATGGCATCTTATAATGCTAGATTATTGGCACTAATCGTTATCTTTAAATTGTTTGTTCTCTCATACAAATCTGTCTATTTTGATACCATTCGTTTTCTATTCACCTGTTCTGTATAAACTACTGTGAAGTGTAACAACTTGATTTTGTCAGTCAGTCAGTCAGTTAGTCAGTCAACTCAAGCCACAGCTTGTCATGTGCTCCTTTTAAAAGTATGACCTGGCACTGAACGGTTGTCACATTTTTTCCAGTGCAACTTAAACATGGAGTATGAATGAAAAGAACGACACGAATAATCGAATATGTCTGACTTCTTTTGGTATACCTACGTGTTATACTGTGTGAATGGGAACTAATGTGACCGCAAATGGGATACAGCACATACAGTGGCTTTCAGTGAATAGTCTATATTAAGCCAAAATAACGGGAAAGGAGAATTTTAAATACTTATCAAGTGAAAAATGTGGATAGACCATTAGTATCGAGAATGAAATTATTTTACTCGATACTCAAATCCAAGTAGTGAATGACTGAAAATAATCGGGTAAATGATCAGTTAGAATATTCGATTTTAGTGCCGATTTAAGTCCTGTCCAGCGTGATGTCTTGTAATATATTCAGGTGAATCAAAATCAGTTTAAGTTTAATAAATTCAAAACCTTAACGTAAATGGTCTTTCTGAATTTCAGGTGTTGCTGTGCATGCGTAATTAAGCGGCCATGTACAGATAATTGCACCAGAGACTGAGGGTTTGTGACATTACCTGGTTTCCCAAAATTCGATAAATGTAGCAGGCTTCAAAATTATGGCTAACCAAACGAATGAGCCATAGCCTAATACTGTATATATCACTTTGCTAGACTGATGTGATACGAGATTAGGAAACGTTTCGCAAACGAAAACAAGGATTTGAAGCTCAAAACGAAATTTTTTAAATCTATGCTAGAGGAAACAGATATATTCACATTAACAAATGATAAAATGCAGTTGAGAAGACACGAAAAATTCATATTACCAATTTGTCCTTAGCACGCAGCTCTTCCTCCAATTCGGTTATCAATTTATTCTCCACATTCCTTTCTCTTAAAGTTTCATCTAGCCTGGACTGTTGATCAAACAAATCCTTCTCCAATAACGATTTTTTGGTTTCTACTTCATTTAGCCGATTCTCATATCTGTCTAGCTTCTTTAAATACCTAGATACTTCAACTGAACAGAAGAAAAGTGAGTGCTTATTATACATTGTATTTCATTGCAATATATTAATTAGTAATGATCCTGATGTCATTTGCAGTCTTACCCTGAGAGTAACGTTGTTCAGCCACTTGTCTTTCAAATGGAAGAATCTCTTTGTTATCAAGTAACACGAGTGAGCATAAATGAAATATAACAAATATTCGGTAGATTGATTTGGAGTCAAATTTCTCGATAGCGTTCTTTACCACAGATCCATCGTCACTGCTGCAACTGTTATACGTATTTACTAAAAGTTGATCAGCAGCCGGATTGCCTTCGAATGTGAAAACTGTAAGGTTTGACAATGACCTTAAGTATGTTATTCGGTGAAGCTGTAGAAATAGAAAGTGGTAAAATATTATGGAATAACCCAGGAGATCTTCAAATTTACATCGTCAATTATTTTAAATTAATGAAATACAAACACATTCATGCAGTGAATGGACTATCAAGAAACTGAGTTTAGAAAATGTAAATATCACACTAAATCACTGATATTAAAAGAGCAGATTTAGATCAGAATATAAACACACATTTATGAAACGTTAGTCTTAAACCGTCTACGTGTGAAGCATAAAAAGCAACTATTGCAATATAGTACTGCCAAGCTTATTTTTCTTTAATGTGCATTTATACTACAACTTGACGATCAATAACTATGCTATCATATTAGAACTAGTTTTATGCTGGGATTGAAGTGATGGAATGTGTCAACCACTTCACTTACTTCGGGAGTTGCATCAACCCAAACGAACTGCTCGCTGATGAAATCCCAGCTAGGATACAGAAGGACCGTCTGACGTTTACCAAATTGCGTCAACCATGGCGCCAACTAGTGAGATATTCGATTATCCACCAAAGGAGAAGTAAACTGGGCTGCAGTTCGTTTTGTTCTGTTATACAACTGTGAGACATGGCCGTTAAAAGTAGAAGACGTGGAGCGGTTACAAGGTTTCGATCACAGATGTCTTCCTACCATTGCTCGCGTTTGATGGTATCACCGAGTGAGCAATATTAAGGTCACGCGAAGGGTGCTTGGCAGGGAAGATGAGTCGATTGGTGAGGTTGTAAACCTCAGTCGACTGAGATGGCTTGGACGTGTGTTGCGTATGCAGATCCACCCCCTACCTCAAAGTACAGTACTAGAAGTTCGATCAGGTTGGAAGAGGGTTCAGGGTGGCCAAATCGACATAGCACCAGTGCATGAAGTCGTGTTGGAATATGTAGACTACCTGGCTGGGGTCATCGAAACGACAGGAATCGGTGATTGAGGACTCTAGGTGACATGGCTGGAAATCAATCACAACTGTGCAGATGTAATTACTCTATTCCATCTTATAATGCCTGATTATTGGCACTAACCGTTATCTTTGAATATTTTGTTCTCTCACACAACTTTGGTCACTTTTATACCACTATTTTTCTATCCACCTGTCCTGTGTATACTACTTTGAAGTATGGCAACTTGAACTGATGTACTTGAGTGAGAGGTTCGATGCTGATTTCGTCTCTTTCTGTCTGTGAGAACTACAACTACTTATTAAGTTGTCTACGTCGAAGTTAGATAAAATGAATTTTTAAACAGTAACTCACAAAATGGATTGAATATCACTAACTGTAAACAATGAATACAACAATAATCAGCATACAGTACCACTTGAAGACGTATTATACACGACAATGCCAATCTTGGACTAACGATTACTGCTAGTATTTTCGTTTCTTTCCGAACGTTAAATCTTAATCGTATCTCGGTAATTAAGTAGTTGAGTGTGAGTTCTGAAATTTTAAAGACTTCATATTTATAGACTGAAGAAAAAATATCGAATTCTGTAGGTAGGACATTTTCTGCCTATAATTTTCGCCAGCGGATGCAAATCTAGAGATGCCCACCACCTGGGCTTCACCAAGCCATAATGTCCAAAAGGCGAATTTATTTCATCCACAGCACTCGTACTTGTGCATCATGACATTTTCAGTCATTGCCATAGTCTTGTGCTACTATGGCCGATATCACAATAATATTGCTTATCCTTTTAAATTCTACAGGGGCTGTAATACTGTAGATACAGACATTTAAAATAGTGCGACTGAGACTAATTGAACTATTTGGAAACTGCTTAGAATTACTTGACTGTGTGAGTGTACGAGTCAAAGTTACAATTCTTGTTCATCCTGTATAGATCCGAGAATTCCAGTCTTAGTACGAAATCCAGCCATAAAGCTACATGATTTTACATTACGAAAATAACAAAATCTTTCCCTTAGACACTTGCATGACATGGCATCACACGTTGGAAAAACTTGACATACTACAGAAAGATATTATTTCTAACCAACTGATTCTGATAAACAGAAAAGATTTCTTCCGCAAGCCCAAAAATGTTACATTGTTAGACTAGTCACTACAAAATATCTCCTTAACTAACTGAAAAGTGATTCAGTACTATTAAGTGTATTTTGAAGCACCTAAGGTTTCTAATTCACTGATGGATGAATAAAACCTTAACACCTAAATAGACAGCTGGTGCTAAGAAATCAAAAACCAGCAACTAGTTCGTCCAACTCAAAACTAACAATTTCGATGTTGCCATATTTGCAGAACTGAACGCCATAAAGCTGCTGAAAGCCGGGAATCAACAGGACCAGATGGAATTCGGCCAGAAGCACTGGAAACAGACGCAGAGACAACAGCGGATATGTTCAGACCACTAGTGCAGAAGGTTTGAAAGGAAGGAAGGAAAGGTACCTGCCGATTGGAAGAAGGGCTACCTCGTCAAACCCCCAAGTCTTTGCAAGAACTGGAGCGGAATCATGCTGCTGTCCGCCCCAAGCAAAATATTAAGCCACATCATCCTGGAGAGACTAAAAAATGCTCTGGATTCAAAACTACGACCGGAACAGGCTGATCTCAGGGAAACCAAGTCATGTGTGGATCAAATTGCAGCGCTAAGCATCACCACAGAACAGAGCGTAGAGTGGCAGTCAACTCTTTACTTGAACTTCATCGAGTTTGTAAAGGCCTTCGATAGTGTCGACCAAGAACTAGCTTGACAGCTGCCTCAACACTGCGGTTTTAGCGTCACAAACCCCCATCAACCTCACTCAACAGCTGTATGCTATATGATGCCACACGTCAAGTGATTCACAATGGTGAGCTCAGTGATGCCTTTGAAGTGAAGACAGGAGTTAGGTAAGGTTCCTTGCTATCACCGATGATCCTCCTGATTGTGGTCGACTGCACTGGATCCTGCAACAAACTGAGGAGCGAGAAGATGGGCATACATTGGACCGATGAAAAGACCTCAGGAGATTTGGATTTTGCCGATGACGATTCATGTCGAATGTGGCACAAATTCAAAGATCTACAGGCAAAAACTAACAAGTTCGTAGAAGAGGCAAGGCAGGGCAGTGAAGACGCGGCTTCTTCCAGGTGAACGTAGGGAGGAGAGAGGTGATGAAGATACCCAACTAGCAACAACAACAACAAACGGCAACTACCATCACCTACACCACCAACCTAGGCAGTGTCGTCTCAACTACGGGCGGCAACACAGATGAGCATGTCAAAACCAGGATCGGGAAAGCAAGACAGGCCTTCATTAACCTGAAACAAATGTGGAGATCTACTGTATACAGCATAAAGAATAAGATCGAGATTTTCAACACAAACGTCAAGTCAGTGCATCTATACGCTTCAGAAGATTTGCGCGTTACGAAAAGCATTCCCAACAAACTGCAGACACATTGACAGCTACTCCCCACACTCACTTCATACTGAAGATCAGATAGCCGGAAAGAATAGGCAACAGGGAACTCTGACTGGCAACAAACCAGTCAAACAACAACCCTTCGCCAAACAAATATATTGAAGAAAGTGGAGATGCATGGGATTGGACATACACTGAGAAGACATCGCGCACCACGCTAGGCCCTCGAATGGAACCCGAATGGGGAGCGACCAGTTGAGCGCCTTAGCGTGACATGGAGATCATGTGAGGAAGAAATGAAAGCTTGTGGGTAGTTGTGAAGCCAGGTTAACAAGACTACAGAGAATAGAGTGAAATGGTGACGTGCTACTGAAGCCCTACGTTCCACTAGGAACCCAAAGGACAAAAATAATAAACGATAAATATTTGCAACTTATTTATCTATATTCTTGTAGCGTCACACATTTCCCTAAAATCAATAGCCTAGGGTTTGACGACTTTCGACATTGATGCTGACCTTGATAGTTTAACTGGACTCGCTAAGCTGAAGGCACCCGGTCAAGCATCCTCGCCATTTGGCACGCTGTCGTGTTACGTTGCACTGCTCGTATTCGACTCTCTAGCCAGTTAGTTGGAACGCATCGGTATTTTGGGACAACCATCCAAATATACTATTCCATCCGACTACGCTATCGTGTTCTTCCTTGGTCTCGTATTCGTGGGTATATAACAAGTCCGAATTAGTGATTGGTCTTTGCGTCTGTCAAGTTCGCACCAGGACAAATCCTAAATTGGTGAGCCCGACGTGATCACATATCCCGACCAATAACAAATATTGAATTGGTGAGCCTGTTCCATTTTATATTTGTTTATTGTTTTCATTTCGATAACATTTATATATCCATTTACTACACTTTCTCATGTCCGACCACACTCCCAAGCTTATTCGTATTAAGCCGACTACGAACACGATCCAACTCGTGCCATATTGGCCAGACAATGCAGAAACATGGTTTCTGTATGCCGAGGCAGATTTTCGAGAACAGGGTGTCTCAGATCCTCATTCTCGATTTCTTGCTGTCATACGTTCACTACCGCGAGAATTAAACAGGTATGTTACAGCACACATGTTTAATCCTGAAGTAAGTGATCCTTATGCACTTCTTAAAGCTGCACTCTTGAAGAAAAGCGATCTCACAGATCGCCAGTGCCTAGACGAATTGCTTCGTAACATCGAGCTAGGCAGCCACTCAGCTACTGAAGTCCTCGCACGCATGCGAGAAGTAATCGGTGCACGAACATTCGACGATGGTTTCTTCCGAGAACTATTTCTCTCGAAACTACCACAACCGGTGCAAACCGTGTTGGTGACACTCAGTCAGTCCCACTCGATGACCTGGCAGCCTCAGCAGATAAAATACTGGAGATCTCTAGCAGACCCGTCTCCAACGTATATTCTATCTGCGACAAACCAGAGCGCCAGGATTCAGAGGTGACCAAGCTGTGCAACTCTGTGAAACAGTTGCTACGATCTCGAAGTCCTAGATCACGTAGCACTTCACAGAAACGCATCTTGGCGCATCGCAGCAAGTCGCGTGGTAGCCCTAAAACTAAACCTAACA